GAAAGGGGGGCGGTTGGAGAATCATCCAAATAATGTGCAATTCAAAAATTAAAAGTGTGATGCAATTACTAATCAGTAAAAATGATTCTAATAAATCATTCAGCATTACATTTGCTCTTCATCAACTAAAGCCAAGGTATCTGAAGTTATTTACATTTTTAAAAGGCTCACCTGGCATTGCAAGTAATATTCATATCATTTGCATGTCACCTGACAACACTAGGATACAATTCTTATTTATTTTGAATTTTTGGGAATGAATTTATAATGAACAAAATTTAGAAAGGAGTCACTCAATGCCAATAGCCAGAATGCTAAAGAAAATACACTATTGGTTTCTAACTCTTATAATGAGGAGGGATAAGTAATGTATATCTTGCTACAATGGTTGCTAAAGATGGGAAGCCGGAGAAAGAAAGAAGAAGATAGTACGTAGTCCATTGCATAGCAATGTTGAAAGAAGGGAAAATTGCTGGAAGGAAGGAAACTTGAATATAGTGGGAATGGATTAGTAAGTCTTGATGGTAAAACAAGAACAGATTGGGTGAAGAATAAGATGGTGAATAAAGAATAAGGATCAAACTGCAAAATAAACATAATAAGTTGCTTTTGGATGGAGTGACAAGATTGCAGTGAAGAGATGCAGAATGTAATGTGTGAATCAGTGCATAGATTTGGAAGAAGATAAGAGTGCCTTGCAAGAATATTACTGTACAAAAAGGACTGTGAAGGGTTTAAGTCAGATTTCCTAACAGTTTATCTCTACGGCGGGGTGGTTGTAGTGTTACTATGTCTTTTTTCCATAAAGTTTATTACACTATGAAAGGGAATACTGTGATTGGTAGCTATGTATGTAAATAAGTTACATTTAGTAACCTTTTATTTGTGTATTCAGTATGAGTACCTTTGATCGATAGAATGAGTGTTAAGAGACACTATTTAGGCCAATGAGTCCAATTTTCCACCATGTAATCCACATTTCTTAAAATGTAACTTTCTACAATTTTACATTTATCAAGTGATGGAGAGCAACTGGAAGAGGTGTGTGCAAAATAATTAAAATATGAAAGCATTTTGAGTGTTTTGTGATGCAAAATCCACATTTAATATATTTTGTTTTGAAGATGAAACAAAGCTTGCTGTTTTAAGTATTTTGTTTTGTTTCAGAAAATGTTATTACATCATTATGGTCTAGTCTTTGCAATTAATGACTATTGAATGCAATAATTGACCTAGCCTTCCTGCAGCAGCTATGGTGACCCCAGTTATTATGTTGGTGAGATGGAAGAATGGCTCGGTATTTGGGAAAGGGCTTTTATTTATTATTTATTTATTTAATTTATATTGCTACCTATTCGCCCATGGCGACTCAAGGTGGCTTACAGAATATAAAACCACATTTGAAACAATAAAAATAACAAAAAGAATCAAATAATATAGTACAATATAACAAAATCATCCCCCACCTCCTACCACCCGCCCCAGTGACAGCAGATCACACGAGTCATTTAATGGACTCCATCCTGCTCTGGGCTCCCCAAGCCCGCTGGCAGAAACAGGTCTTCAGCGCCTTCCAGAAGAGTATTAGAGTGGGGGCCATTCTAATCTCTGGGGGAATGATGTTCCAGAGAGGGAGCCATCACGGAGAAGACCCTTCTTCTGGGCCCCACCAGGTGTATCTCCCTCGAGGATGGGACCCGCCATATTCCCGGCCTCCCTGCTCTGATGGGTTGGGTAGATGTGACCGGCAAGAGATGGTCCCTCAGATAACCTGGTCCCAAGCCATGAAGGGCTTTAAAGGTGCAACCAGCACCTTGAATTGCACCTGGAAGCAAATCAGCAACCAATGCAGTTCCCGCAGGAGAGGTGATATATGTGCATGTGGCCCCACAGGAGAGCTCCCGCAGGAGAGGTGATATAAATGCAGTGGCCCAAACCATGTGGGCCGCTGCATTTTGTACCAACTGGAGCTTCCGGATGCTCTTCTTTTAGCAGCATTTGGAGGAGCTAATGGTGCTAAATGGCACTCATTTCTGCTCTCTGTTAGAATCCAGGAGGCTGAAAGTAAAAGTCAGGAAGAAAAGGATCTGCCTCCTGTGCTACACTATTGGAATCCAAACTGGATAGTAATGGTGACCAAGAGGAATCAGACCATGTATTAGTACTGACATAGGCACATATTGAGTGTGTGAATTAAACATATCAAGCGTGAATCAAGTTGCATTGAGTGCCCTGGTAGTCCTTACATAGTGGAACTCCACCTACCCAACATGGCAAGGCACTCAATGTGCCTCTTCAATCCCCAGAAGTGGAGAAGCATGGTCAAGGCAGATTCTATACTTCACCATTCTTGGCATCAGAGTCTGCCTTAATAGGCCAAGTTCTGCAATTTGTTCTTTTCTTAGAAAAGATCTTGGATGAACCCCAGGAGAAGCGGCATTCAAAAAGCCTTGGGGACTCAAACATAACAGTGGAGTTATGCATTGACCAAAGTCCTTAAATGTAGAGCAAGCATTAGTACCATCTGATGGACATTTCATTCCCAGCAATAGATAAGAGTCTGGAGTCCAAGCTACTGAGCTTCTACACCGACTAGTGTATTGATTTGGCCAGTGGAAGAGAAAGGTTCCTTTTGTTAGCTTAGTAAGGCAGAGTAAAGCTTTAGGTTCTCCAGTTTTGGACAGCCAACACCAAAATCTACACAGATTGGGCAACGGTTGCCAGGTAGAACATGTCTTGCCCTCCAAACTGCATCTTCAGATAACATGGTAAAATTTCAAAATGCTTGTGCAGTTATTTAGTCCATGGTTTATTGTATAAGAAAGACACATTCAAGCATATTGGTTTGTCTGTTTAGTACAGCTCTGTTCCTTTGGGAATTCAAATCCACCCCCTTATTTTGATGAGAAACAATGGCAGTGTTTTCGTTTTTTCCTCAATATTTTAGAATATAAATGAAAAAACAACCAGAATTGGAAGACACTGGGTATTTCCTTAGTCTCTTTCTTGGACAGAAACACTTCTTTCTTTTACTCATTTACTCATTCCATTAACTTTCAAAACTTTTATTATACCTTTAACTTTTTCTACTGTCTTCATTTTCTTCTTCTTCATTGAAATGATTTGCTACTGCAATTGGTAATTTTTTAGGAACTCCATCAGTTCAGGGCACATCATCTTATATATTATGTAATATATTGGGCCACATTCAGTTTTAATTTTCCTTCAACTGTTCCAGCTACTTCCATTTCTTTTATTAGGGGTTCTTCCATTGGTTAGAATAAATGAAACCACAGTTGATTCTCTTATGCTTTTTGTTTAAACCTTCTGAAAGCAAAAGTTTTCAGCAAGATGAATCAGGGACACCCTGAGAGGGACATTCTTGGCACACTCAAGTCTTCTGTTAAATTCCAAAATCCTAGTTTCAGATGCTTATCTATTTTATTTTTATGTTTCAAGGAAGATAAATATAAATATAAAACTCATAAAAGAACACAGTCCAGTAAAAATGCTGAAACAGCAGGAATAAAAAGTGGAAGGTAACAGAAATCATATATACTGTGGGCTTTTTACCCCAGAAATCCATCTCCAGATTTTACAGCCTTGGGCACTTTTTCAGAGTGTACACCTAAGAGGAATACCGCAGAATGAATGCAATGGGTTCACTCCACATCCACATCCACTTTGCAAAGCTAAGTGATTCTGCAGTACACCACTCGTCTTTTCTCCTATAAGCAATCAAGTCAGTCTACTACATAATATAAAGCAGTTTGTCATGTGAGAGAGCTGCTTTTCCAAATACGTTAAATGACAAAAGATGCCTTTTATACTACATTCTTTGAACATCATGTACAGTTTACATGAATGCCTGCTTTTTATTATAAATCACCTAATCTTGTTTTTGAAAGGTAAAAAAAAATCGAAGTACACAACACTTTTAATGTAGATATTTAACTGCAAATATTGCATAATGTTTGGTGAAGGGAATTTATTATTTTTTCCTCCTGTTCCTCAAATTCTGTTCATGGGCATATATGAAGACTGGCTAAGTTATTAATTGGGATTATATCTTCCTACACAAGTGAATGAGTTCTGGCATGTACCTAGGGAATAATTATGTTTAAAAGTCCTTGATATTATCTTTGTGTTCATGTAAAATGATTCATTAAAATGATGTTTGAATTTAAATTATTAGTTCAAGTTTCCAGAAGAGCCTTAAACAAATCATTGATATACCATTACGTAAACATGGATTTGTTTCATTTTTAGTATAAAATTGTAAGCTAAACTCCAGTGAAATTAATACATCCCAATCATACATGATTGTGTACTGAGACTTAGATCAGATAAAAAGGCAAAAATCAAGCTTTAAAATAAATTGTTAAATATAGTTCTTGTAAAAATAATTGGGGATGTATATGTACTAGTGTAAAACTAGTAGGATAACATATTCAGCACCTTTTAGTTGTATTTAGCAGCTGACAAAGTTTGTCCTCCGTTTTTTCTCCTCCTTCCCCTCCCTCCATTGAGCAATTTGACAGTTTTGTTTAACCCACGTAATACCTGTGATTAGTGGAAAGGCTTTTTTAGCAGACACAGAAAATGGAAGATGAAACTGCAGCAGAAGCATGGCAAATCTGAAAAGTTAATTAGTGCATAAATCTATTTTAAAAACAAAAAAGATAGAACTTACAAGCTACGATAAAAAGTTATGTCTTTAAAGCTATAGATTATATAACAGGGTGGGAAATGTTTAATATCCATTTCTGTAAGTGAAGTGGTTAGACTTCCAAATGTATAAAGTATGTATGCTGTCCAAAGTATTATTTCTTTCCACAGCATTTGGTTTTTATATAGCATAAATCCAGAAGTTAAAAAAATCAGATTATTATGCTTTTCCCACCCTGACAGAGAATAAACATGAATTCAAAAGCACAGTGGAAGTGGGGGGAAAAGAAGAAAAGAGAGAAAAGGCAGCAGAGAAAGACAGAAGAGGTGAATACAGAGCTACAGAAGTGTTTATTGAGCATGCTACAGAGGCAAGCAGCGTACACATAAGAAGAAATTAAACAACCATCAAACCTCCCAACTTTGTTAGAAAATTAATTTTTAATTGTGCCGCTTTCAAACTATACTGAAATATTACATTTCTAAAGATGTAAAAACTCAACTAATAGAAAATATACATGACCTTTTTCTACATAGATAACATAATCTATGACTTTTGGAACTAAATACATCAATTGCAAAAAGTATTGGTCATTTGAACAGAATCAGTAAAACAGCCCAGATTGATAGAGGAACTGTTTCCAAATGATTTTTTTTTCCTGTAGATTCTGAGCCATGTTTATAGTAAAGGCAGATCCATTTCTAGTTATAAAATATTTTGAAGAGATTTATTAAAACTGAATATTACAATGCAAGGTAAATTAAGACTAAAGGCACATAAACTTTGGTCCCACCTGGTTGTCAGTTTTGTTTTTGTTTTTTTATAAAGAAAACTGCCAAAAAAATTATTAATCTTTCTGCAAAAGTTTGCAATACATTTTCTTCATCCTTGAAATACATGCACCAACTCCTGAACTAGCTAGACCAGTCTGAACATGCTCAGAAATCCACAACCATATTTCAAATTGTAATTACTAACTAAAAATGGCAATATATATTTAAATGCATGTAAGTTATGTCAACTTCAAAAAACATCTACAAAAAATATTCAGCCACAAACAAGACATTACTTAGTGCCAACATTTATATGATTCGCCCCAGAGTGTGTTTACAAAAAGGTTAAGACTTTATACAACTCTTTTTTCACTGAGGCTAAAAGCCACAGGAACTAACAAAAAACAGAAGAATCACTTTCAGACTTTTAAAGAAATTAACTCTTTGCATCTTTGTAGTTCTGACTAAAGCCTATATTTTCAACTAAACTAAATCTGAAATACAAAGGCCATTTTTACTGAGAGAAAAAATAATATGCCGAGTTTCTCTTCGAGAAGAGCAACTGATTTTGTTTTAAAAATGTTTCATGGAAAACTGATAAATCCCAAACAGAAAAAAAAGCTTAACCCTTTTTACACACTCTTGCCTAATACATATTTGGCATAATCCTGCAGAAGTTAGGTGCAACAAATTCCCCCTGAAATCAATGTTCTAATTCTTGGATTTCAATGGAATAAATGCAAGCCTAACGTTCACTGGACTGCACCTATTAATTCCCATATAATGTGCCCCAAACAACCAAATTTTTAACTAGTAAATGCAACTCTAAGTTTTCCTTCTTTAAGGCACGTATGTTAACTAAGTTGAAAAACTATGGGATTTCCTCAGAATCCCCTTTAAACAAAATGGTTTCATAAACATATGCAAAACCAGCAGATAATATCACTGCTTCTTCCTTGCAAATCCTTTTTCATTTCATTTATACATAAACAATCAAGGAATGATAACAGCATGAAAAACAGATGTCCATCTCTGGTCCCCGCTTTCCCGAACAGTCATAGATGACAACACTAAACAATGTGATACAACCTTATTATTTTGATATCTCACTTCAAATGGTTGATTTGGAAAAAGAAACTCTCAGATGATGATTTTCTCCAAGATTGTAATTATGCAGATCAATCAAAGCCTGGATAGCTTCTTCTACTGTTGACATCTGAAGAAGGGCCATCTTGTGATCTCTTCTGGAACAAAGCAATGAAATTAGATACGAAAACAATACAAGAAAGTTTTAATATAAAACCTATTCTTACCAAAGACAGCTGCTCCCTCATTTTAAATGAAGTTTCAAAGAAAATGTGCTTACTGAAAAAATTTAAATGCTTTCACAGTGCCTCCAGTATTACCAAACAACATGCGCAGGTCATCTTCCGATACTGATGGTCTACAAAAAGAAGTAAAAGAGAGAAGAGAGACAGGAAAGGATTAAAAGCTACATTTGGCTTTTACATGAATTTTTCAAGGAATTTGCTAGCCAAGACTTACGGAATATTAGATAAATGAAGAGTTGCAGATGGAGGAAAAATATTTTGAAAGTTTTTTGAACCAGGCTTCTTGAAACGATGAAGAGGTGAATTGCCAAAATCTTTTGTTAAGCCTTGGTCATCGAGACCTTCTCGAGGTAGCTGAACTGTTTGATGTTTGGAAAGAGTGACACGAATAATCTTGCCATACATTTTCTGCCCATTAAGATGGCTCATAGCTAAACAAAAGTAATGGAGATTATTTGCTTCAGTCCTTATATCAATTTAACAATATAACTTTTTGATATATTTATTGTTTTAAAAAGAGTCTGGTGGCAATTTGTTTTATTAAATGAAGATATGAAAAAAGATGTAATTTTTTTTCTGCCCAATATCAATGTTATTTGAAATACTGAAGGTTTCTCAAAGAAGAGTTTTTTAAATTTTAAAAAACAAACAGAAAAACAATCTAAATAATAAAAAAAAATAGCATGAAAAATAAAGCATAGTATATTCTATCTATCTATCTATCTATCTATCTATCTATCTATCTATCTATCTTTCATGTGTCTAGTCTGCCCATGAACTCTAAAATAAAATAAATAAATTTACTATTTATGATTCCAGTGCATAGTAGACATCTAATCTCAATCTAAGTAACATAATATAGAAAGCCTTGGAAAAAAGGAATGTCCTAAAATACTTGGTACTGAAAAGAGACTAACAATGAAGCCTGGCTGTCCTATTTGGAAAGGGCATTCAATAAGCAAGACCCTGCAGGCAAGAAGGTTGATGTCTCTGTCATTTTCCATTCCAAATTTTCCAGGGCTGTCTAGAACTCTTTTTTTATTGAATTACTACTGAATTTCGATGAATTTCTACTTAAAATTAAAATTAATTTTTAAGTTTCATTCACATCACTGTGTATTCAGTAAAGCAAGAGGAAAACCAAAGGAAAATAATGGCTTATTTAATATACAAATCAGATGATTTAATTACTACCAGTAATTAGGCAGATCAATTTTATAATACATATCTAAAAAGACATGTTTCAGCAGAACAGTAAACAATGGTGCATTTTTGTAAGTTGGTGCATTCTGGAGCAGAATCTGAAAGAATTATATAATGTGCCATGTACATAAAAATTTCTTATAAATAAGATTATGTTTAACGTAAGTAGGCAAGTTAATGAATTACCCTCATTAGTCTCATTCCCTTCCTTAAAGATAAAATTATTTTTAATGCAACCTCGGAAGAAAAGAGCATGAATCTGCAATATTCTGTTATTTAACTATCCACCCATCACAGGTGCAACTTTGCAATTAATAAACTATCTCACAGGTACAGAGGGTTGAGATCTAAGAAAAACAAACATCCGGAAAAAAAGTCTGTAGCTGCATCCACTGAAAAGTAAATTTGAATCCTGACATTGTACTGTCTGATCGAACAGCCTCATGTTCAGAAAACAGTTATCTATCTGCAGAACATATTAGGCAACTTTACAGACTTTATTCACCCCTACAGAATCCTATGGTTTTATAAACTGTGAAATATGAAGTTTCCCAAATAATTTTAAGAAATACTGAAAACCAAGAATGAAATGGAAGAAGAAAAAAAACATGTTAATCTCACCAAGCTGTGACTGGTTTCCATCAGCCATCTGTATAAGAGCACTGTCTTTCTTATTGTATAAAATCTTCACTCGTTGTACATCCCCATAAACACCTTTTTAGGATTAGAAAAGTAACCCAAAAGAAATAGTATTTTAAATATAGCTAAATAGAATACTTTGAAACATCAATGAAACATTCGGACAGATCTTTCACTTCTTCCAGCATTCACACAAATGAATAAGAAGAACAAGATTTTGAATAGGTGGATTTTGAAAAAAGGAAGACATTTTTGATATACCCTCAAAGCTATGAGAATGGTTTTAAATAAAAGACCATGCAAAATAAAATCACATGCATTAAAAGAAAAGTTTGCATCTATGGAGTTTAAAAATAGCAAAAGAAAAATAGCAAAAGATTTACTATTCAACTTTAAGCCAAACTGCTAGCTATAAATAAGAATTAAGGTGAAACAAATAATTAAATCAATAATAAAAGTATAGTGCTAACGATAACATACCGAAGAGGGTAAACAGACTTTGGGGCGTAACCATCTTTAGAAGGAGAGAAGAGCAAGCAGCATAAGACAAGAAGAGAGAAGAGTCGAGGAAGAGCGGAGATGAACAGATCATCCATAACGAAGGGTGGTTCCCGCAGAATGGTGAGGTGGTCATGGATCATGGTTCAAGGCGGTTAATTGGGGCAAGTTGGTCCGAGGAACATTTTGTTCAAGCACAGAAGCATGAACATAGGGGATGGAGACAGGGGTGTAGACAAGGAATGCAAAGGATAGGATAGGGGAGGGTGTGGGAATTTGGGAAGAGACAGGGAAAGGGTAGGTGAGCACACAGGGAGAAGATGAAATGGGGAAGGGAAACAGCAATGCAGAAGAAAAATAAGGAAGTGGGGAACAAAAAAAAAATAAAATATAGGTCAGTACATAGGAAATGCAGGAATTTGGTCAGAAAATGGTTGGTTTATGTATTGTACAAGAAAAACTGAGTAAAATGTAGTCACCCAAGACAAAATATGGGTAAAGTACATCCATATCATACAGTAAATTACATTTCAATAGAACATGAAAAAACATGCAATAGAAACTTAAAGAAAAAAAAATCCTCTAAACTTTAACTGCATAAGCATGTCTGGTTATGAAATGCAGGGAGAAGTCTTTCAAATGGCACTCTGATTCAAGCATTTTAACACGCAAGACTATGAATGACGAAAATGAGAGAAGTATAATGGTTCAATATTAAAACAGAGGCCAGTCAAATGGAACACATAGTCAAAGTAGACAAACCGATACAAACTATCCCACATTTCATACCAGCTTCCACAGCAAGTCAAAGTAAAGATCCAAGGCAATAAAATGCAAAACTAAAAGTAACTCAGACTTCAGAGTTAAGGAAATAATAAAACAAAGGTTTTCTAAAAAGGAGACAAAATGAATAGCAACTGCAAAAGAAAAGAAAAATTACTAAGAGAGATTGAAGAGTGCTGGATCAAATCGCTGGGAGGAACCTTCAAAGAAAAATTAGTTAGAGTTGTTCACATACATTAATACAACAAAAAGAGCAGGGATGTGTAAGCATGAAATGAATAAGCAAAGGAACAACTATAACAACAAAATAGCAGTTTTATTAAATTCTATATTTCAAAATGGAACACACTGTTACAAAAATAAGCTAAAAAAAAATCCAGAACATGCAGTGTTTACTCTCTCTAGTTTTTTTTAAAATGAAACATAGGTAGCCAAGTGGGAAAGGGTTATTTTAAAAAGGCTAGCTACCTCCAAAATCAAAAGTAATTAACAGTACAGAACATATTGGATTCCAGCCATAACGCAATCTGAAGTAACATGAATAAATTAAAAGTCCATCTTAAGACATGGAAGCAAGCTCAAAATAAGAAGGGTACATAAAAATTTGAAAAAGAATGAAGCATGATTAAAGAAAAAAGAATGCTGAGGAGAGAGTAGATACACTAACCTCTTCATTTAAATTGCTAACCAAAAGGACTGTATTGCCACCAGTTGAAACTCCAGGCATACCCACACGGCCCGCTGCTGCTGCCGCCGCCGCCGCAGCATTTGGAATCCCCAAAGGACTCAGCGCTCCTGGAACAGCTGCAACAGGAAGCCCTAATTTTAAAATAAAGCATATTTTACGAAACACACACAAGTCGCTCTAATATAGCCTAATTAATGCTCCCATTGCTGAAACCAATTCTTTATGATAAAGAGACTCTATGGCAGTGTTCTCAACCTTGGCATCTATAAGATGTGTGGACTTCAACTCGCAGAATCATCCATCCAGCATGCTCTTCAACTGACTAATATAAATCGAAGCAAATGATGTTATTTCTTTTACAACAAATTCCAGATTAAGGCTTTTTTAATTTAAAAAAAATCCCTTCTAGCAAAGGAGAGAAAAAAATCTCTAATCAATTTGAGTTTGAAGCATTTTTACCTACATAATCTTTTGGAAAAAAATAACAAAAGTAACAAAGGGAAAAGAGTACACATTTTTGTATTTCACTATTCCTCAGAATTTAATAAAATTCATTTCTTAATCAGCAAACTGCCCCTAATATAGTGCAAATTATCTATCAGAAGTGATGGAAAGTTTACAGATATGTAAGTATCAAATTCTACAATGGACAATCACCCTTCCTAATTTTGAAGTCATCATTGCCACTGTCCTGCCTTCTAAAGAAAAATTCTCTAAGGGTTACAAACTATATTCTATGACAGTATTTCTCTAGAATAGTTTATTCACAATTATCTGTTCTAAGTGTGAAATCAATCTGTATTAGTACCTTGTAAAACTATGATTCAATATTACAGAGATTAACATAAATTTTTTTACCGGGACCGCCTGCTACCACCAATAGCCTCCCACCGACCGGTACGCTCCCATAGAGAGGGGCTCCTCCGGGTGCCGTCGGCCAAACAATGTCGACTGGCGGCCCCCAGGGGAAGAGCCTTCTCTGTGGGGGCACCTACTATCTGGAACGAGCTCCCCCCGGAGATATGGAGGATCCCGGATCTGCGTACCTTCCGTCGCGCGCTTAAGACGTTCCTATTTCATCAAGCCGGCCTGACCTAAATTTTCCTCTTTTAAATGGGAATTTTAAATTTGGTTTAAATTATTGGGGTTTTTAAAATGGTTCAGCCAAATTTATTTAATCGGTTTTATCTCTGCTTTAAATTTTGTATCTATATGTTTTATTTCATGGCTGTTCACCGCCCTGAGTCCTTCGGGAGTAGGGCGGTATACAAATTAAATAAATAAATAAATAAATAAATAAATAAATAAATAAATAAATAAATAAATAAATAAATAAATAAATAAATAAATAAATAAATAAATAAACAAACAAACAAACAAATAAATAAATGTGCCTGTGCTGTTTATCCTTTGGTATTGAGTGAAAAAACTACTTGCAAATAGTATCAAAATCTGGTGATCATGGACTAGTGAGTATTACTTGTACCTAGTATTACTAGACGGAGTACCATTGCCTACTCCCTCCCCGAATTTAAAAGCAACAACTCCCTCCTCAAATCTATATATTTAAAAGCCAAATACCCTTCACTCATCACAAAATCTCCAGAATGGTAAAACCTACAAACTTGAAATTTGGCACATATGTTCCTCTGGGCTTCTAGGTGCTTGCTAAGAAAGGATTTTTCAGAATGACCATCAGATCACTAGTATTTCATATACAGTATTATATTCACACACTCTGATGCTAAGGAGTTAACATTCTACTCCCACTCCCCACCTGAAAAGAACTCTGTTCCAACTGCCAGTTGCCTCACATTCTGTTACCTCAGTTCAAACTGGCAGACGTTCCACTCCTTCACTCAGGAGCGGTCTGGGGCTCTTTACAGTACTAAACGTCGCTACCTCACCAAAATGTCTATGCCTTCCACCTATGGAACTGCTTTCGAACTCAAGGCGGCGGGAGATATTCCCTTAAGAGTTAATCCCTTAAATTTCAATTTCCGACCACCACTGAGCCAACGGATTGTGAACCTTTCTCCTGAATAGTGTCCCAGCCCCAAATCACTTCTTACACTGACCTCCTCAGTTCAGACGAATCTGTTCCTTCTACTGTAACACCAGTTAAAGGGAAAAGAGGGAAAAATGTAGGAAAAGATTTACAGATGTAATTAGGAAAACACAAGTAAGGGAAGCTGCAAAAAAGTATTGTCAAAGTCATCCTGAAGCCAATAGAGAGGCTGTAAAAAAGTATGCATCTAATAACCCCTACGTTAATCAGGCAGCTACAGCTAAATACAATGAAAAGGTATCACAAATTAGTTCAATGCCTTGGACTAATAAGTATTTGTCTGGTTTTAAATATGAATCCCAGATTGATTACTCCAGGGGAAAGGTTGTTGATCTCGGACCCTCGTTACCCTGTGCCTGGTGCCATGCCCTGAAGTGGCAGGATGAGACTCCCGGGATGTGCTGCAGTGGCAGTAAAGTCCAACTCCCTCCCCTTGAGCCCTCCCCTGAACCCTTACACAGCCTTCGCACCCACCAGCATCCAATGGCAGAGCACTTCCTTTCCACTGCCTGGAAATACAATGGATGCTTCCAAATGACATCTTTTGGAGCCAGAGAGGTAAAGGAGGAAAATTTTATGCCAACATTCAAAGTGCAGGGACAAGCCTACCACAGGATAGGAAGTATCATGGTGGGGCCTCAGCAGCAGCCTTCATTTCTCCAGATATGTGTCAATTTATCAAGCCCCGATCACAGAGTTTTGTAGCTTCCCTATGAATGCTAAGATTTTTAATAAGATAACATTACAATTATTTTTGTAATTTTGGTTTATAAAATTCCTGTTATAAAGCTGAATCCTTTGCCAAGAATGATGTTTTTCTTTCAAACACTACATATTTTGACATTTTATATATCATTTAAGCAATGGCAGAAAGATCTATCCAAGTTTGTATGGCAATGGAATAAAAAAAAAGGTTAAATATAAAATACTCCCAGATCCTGTCATGGATCCGCCTCTGGACCCCTCTCCAGACGCGAGTTTGGAGGGGGAGGTTTGAATAGAGGACAGCCCAGAGCTGAGCGATGGTCCAGATCGGGGCTGAGAATGCTAGCCTGGGTGGATCGGATGAGCAACAGGCTGAGGCTAAGCGAGGCAAGCCACAGCTGCAGTTAGATGGTCAGGAGGTTCCAGGTAAGAATCGGGAGCAGCTGCCACCCATTAGCAACAAGGAGGAAGTGAAATCCACACCTCCTCCTGATCCAGGGTCACCTAGGGCAGAAAGGACACAATGCCAGTCAGCTAAATTATTTGTGAGGAGGCAACCTCGTGAAGGGCCGCACTAGTGTTGCCTACTTAATCCCACCCCAAGGATTTGAATGTTGCGGCAGCGTGCCCAGTTCTGTGCCTTGTGTGTTCGTGCCATGTAACCTGACCCATTTAACTTGTGGACTTTTTTGTTGGACTTTGTGTGTAAACCGATCGACTCTGTTTACCCAGTGACTCTTGCCATGCTGAGCTAGGAATCCAAACCGGCACATTGTGGGTGCTTTCTGAGGACGTGTTTGGTGTTGAATAAACTCCTTTATAGAACTCTTGCTGTATGTGTGTGAAATGGAGCAGCACAGACCCAAAGGAACAAGGAAGAGTTGAATCACCTAACTTGACTTTGTATTTTGCAACCTGCTATTTGATTTGGATGAGAGTAGGTTCTCCTGAGATATAAGAGAATTTTAAAATTAGAAGAACACAATCTGAGATTTGGATGGCATGGGTTTCTTTTTTGGTACGATAAACTTAAGGTTAATGTAGATCTTAAGAATAATTATATTAGAACGATCACACTGAGATTGTGTAATAGATATAAACCCAGACTGTGCCCAAAAATGTCTTCAGGGATCTCAGCACAAGAAGTATTTTATAGGAGAAAAAAGAACAGCAAGCAAAGAGGCTAACCTATTGAGAGGTTTTTAAAACAAGAGCATGGAGAATATAAGATGAAATTAAAAGAACAGCTGCCTGTAGAGGGAGTAGTTTTCAATGGTTTTTGTATGTATAATGAAGAAAAAGATTTAAGGTAGATATGCCATTTAGAACCGAAAAGCAGAAGGCAGAATTTGTAGTTAAATTCTGTAAAAAGATGAACATGTAATTGCTAAAATATATAAACTTTTATTCAACTGTAAAACAAAAGAATACATGGAAGAGTGCATGATAAAGAACTTTGGACATAGTGTATTGATAAAGTGTGAGAAAAAATGTGGTTAAAAGATATAAAATTTACTTTTTGTTAGACAGTATTTCTAACAGTTAGACTTCAGAAAAATTGTATAAAGGTACTTCAAATTTATACTGGAAATGTGGACAACAAAAAAGGTCACTGTATCATGTATGGTGGACGTGTAAAAAAAAGCCAGAAAATTTTGGGTTCAAATATACACAATGATGCAAAGAATTTAAAAAACTTAATATTTGATTAATACCAGAATTTTAATTTGTGCTGAGATTAATGGACAATTAGAAAAGAGCCATGGAAAGCTATCTTTACATATGATTACTTTTTATGTAAGACTATGCACAAAAACAAAAACAAAATATGCATACTTAGTATAAAGATAAAAAAGAATCCATAATGAATTTATTTTGGAACCATAATAGAATTTCTGAACATGAATAGATTTATAAGCAACATTTTTTTATAAATCCATCTCTCCCCCCCCAACAGATTTATATACTATTAAACGGGTCATATAATTCAGTGATTGGAGGTCGAAGACTATAATTGCAGAAATAGTTATTTGACTAATAATACAAGATATATATTGAATAAGAGATCTGCATGTCACAAATTGCACAAATCCTTCACTGATACAGAATACTAAAATCCAGTGTCATATTATTATCTTTACTAAATATGTCATGATCATGACACACCCCAGGTTCTTGCTTTGGCCATTGAACAATATGAGATTCAGTAGTCCAACATGATTTTAGATATAATGCTTGGATGAAAGAATCAAAATAAAGTAAATATATTAAAATGTCATAGTTGAACACTCAATAAAACCTATAATTTCCCATGGAGATCTATTATATATCATCATATTTTTAGAAAGTTCGTGGAAT